GGATTGAGCATAAGGAGAGACAGGAACTTGTTTGTGAGGATTTCACTGGAGAAGTATAAGCAAAACAGCGAAGTATAAGCAAAAGTAGTCAGCGCTACACCGATGATGCAAAGGCACACAGAAGGGAAATGACAGCTGATCAAAGTATCAAGGTAAGTTACAGTAAAAACAGAAGCGTCAATTAGATTTGTGAATGCCTCAGTCGCTAGATGCAACACAGCCATCCAGCGTGATAGGGGAGCTCAGAAGCAACTTAAGATCGACGACTGAACGGAGCATCAGTGGATGAGAAGAGGCGCGCCATATCTGCAACTGATTTACGGCCAGACGATCCGTTTTCGCCATCAACGGTACAGCTCACCGGGCGAGCCGTCACAATCTGATCAGGCTTTGGCGGCAAAGTTGGAGGTATGATCGGAGCACCGTCTCTGCCTCGTCGAGGCACAATCGGAGGCGCTGTAGTTGGTAAAGGTGGTGCAGACGGCTGCACGGTGTTTTCCTGCGGAGGTAACATTGCACTACGACGCGCCACAACAGGTGAACGAGAATGCTGTTCGTCGGTAACTGACCGATTACTGGAGTTGCCGTCGGCCTCCGATTCCCCCGGTGAACATGGCGATAATTCGTTTGCGGCCGTGTCGTAAACTACTGAGTTGTCGCCATTTTCGCTTCCACTGTGACTTCGTTGCACTTCCACCAGAACTGCCTGGGGCTGAAAACTCTAGATTTGTTACAAAGTCATTAACAGGCCTATTCGATGTCTATTAGTCCCAAACGCATCCTCTTGCTCGGTTCGTCGCCACAATTACTGTGTCCAACACGAGAGGCTTACATCATGAACAGCCGTATTATTTTTCCCAAATACAGTGCTACTTACTTCTTTATTTGAAATATGCGCGCATGGGAGGACTTATTCATCAAAAAGTAAAGCGAATTATCGCAGTATGCCTACTAATCGTCACTGCTGCCATGCGGAATCTGCCTTCTTAGATCGATGAGAAGGAATCGTGATATGACGAAGCATCACCTACCTTAGTTCTCTTGTTGTAGTTCCTCATCGGCCTCGGACGGTATTTCGATACATGTTTTAATGCAGACGGCATTGGGGGCGAATCGAAATTCACCTTATCTTCAGCCATATCATTAGAAAACTCCGTTATGATTGATTTTGGACGATGAGATCTGAAATGCTTGGAAAATCTACCTACAACCAGGTTGATTAACACCAGAAATACGTACTAGCGATACATGACATATCTTTCTTTTTTGGATCACAACTTCTGAATTGCTGTTTGGTCATGATTCTAACAATTTCCCTGTTTTCATACAATCCTGTAGCTGCCCACTATTTTCGGCTCTTCTAAGACTTGTTTTTATCAATTTGGGCAAATAAATCAGTGTCAGCAAATGCAACCTTGGTGCGATCAATTTTGCTGAATCTGAAACGCTGGTAACCGATGAGTCATCGCTTTTATTTTGCACTCCATCACCGCTGCCATCTTTTGCCATATTGTTACACTGCGCACGATAGTCGTTTACAATACCTTGTACAGTTTCGCTGATACATTTCCATTTCGCCTCACTAAATTATAAAAATTTCTGTAAGAAATGACAGACATTTGCCTAAAATCAAAAAATCATGGTTTTTTGATATTTCAGTTAGCCATCATACCACTGTTCCGCATTTTCCACCCACTGAGCAGGTGATACTAAGGCTTTGTGATCCTTCCGCTAGCCATCGCCTTACTGTCCCATAAATTCACGCAGCGGCCAGTTGTAGCTGTCTTTTGAACGAACCAAAAAAAGAGATAACAAAAAGGAAATGAAATTTATTCTAACTGAAGATAGCTGATGATACTGTTTGCTAGCGTCTCCCGTGCATTTGTACTGCGCTGCAAATCCAGCATCCCTTCGTTCCATCCTGCTTTCTCAGCTGCCTTCATTACTGGTTGCAAAACTTGCTGAAAAAAGAAATGGAGATATTACTGATGTTCAAAAATCATCATACCCTATGTAGCAACTGCGTACAATGCCACTTAATGATCTGGCATTAATTCCGTATCCACGAATTCACGAGACAATTTAGTAAACTGTCTAATTTAGAGTCTAGAACAACAGTAAATAGCCCGTAATGAAACAGTGCACAGCAGAGTCCCAAGGTGGCGTTCTCTATTCAGTCCCTATGAGCAGTACCGAGATCGAGATGTGTCAAAAGTAATAAAAATCGAAAAACTGAATCAAATGACACAATTTCAAGAAATAATAAATAGCAACGCGCACCAGACTAGCCGGCGCGATCATGCGTTTTGTGCAATTCAGCTCATCGAACGATTGCCCATTAACGATTTTCACTGCTTTGTAATTTAGTCCATGCAAAAATAGTTCAAACATTGGAAAACAGTTAAAAATTTCATGCACCAGCGCATAAAAGCTGAATTTGAAACCTGAAGGGTGAATATCTTTATCCCGAGTTAATAATTCACCCGCCAAAATTTTCACGAAGCCGTAGGTGATAATCAAGAACGTGGGAACGCTGGATTTGAATAGGCAAGGTTGAGCGTGGGCAGGGGGTCACTGCCCTAAAATTTCAGCCTCTTAGACTCTGTGTTCCCCGAGATTTTAATTTACCCGTAAAAAACTTTCACGGGGTCATACGTGTTACCCGCGGGTACGGGGGAGCTGAATTTAAATTTGCGGGGTCACA